TCTTGATGAAATGCGTCGAGAAGTAGCCGAGTTTAGTTATATTGCCAATGAATTCGAACAACTTGTACAGACGTTCAACAAGCTCGTAATTGATACAAAGCATAAAATGGGTTTGATTTTGCCACATATGTGTGAAGCACGAGATCATATTGGCGTACTGACTGATGTGTTCAAGCCTAGTGATAATAATCTTTTAACGACTACAGATTATGATGATATCAAAATTGCGACAGGTGGTCTAGTACATGGAATGAAAAAGATGATCGATTTGTCACGTGCTAGCAGTAAGGAAGGTAGTCAATTGAATGAACGAATTGCTCGACTAAAAACAGATGTACGAACACGCCGTAGTACTGTTAAAGGGCGAATTCATATATCAAAAGCACTCAACTTTCTTGGTCCACTCGCAGGAGCTGGTATTGTTGCACGTGCTGTTATGACGATGGTGGCTGCAAAAGAATTTGGTGGAGTTGGTATGCTCGTTGTGGCTGGATGCACTTTCACTCCTATAACTGCTATCATATGTGGTGCATTGTTAGGTGGTTCAATTATTCTAGCTATTACAGGTCTCATTTACCATTGTTGGACACGACATCAGCACAAAGCTTTGATTTTCTTAAATAAAATTTGTACAGGATTGATGGAACTTTCCAATGCAAACATATTCTTCCTCGACTGTTTGAGTAAGAGTGAAGAAGCAGCGAATACAATTAGTGTGCAACTCGAACAAATTCAACGATCAATTACAAGTGAACGATATCGAAAATGTAATGCTGAACTTTGCAAGAAAGCTCTCGAATCGATCGATCAAGCAATTAAAGCAATTGAAGATATTAAAAATATAGATGTATCACGATGGTTTGTTCTTCAAAGTCTACCACAATTTGATGATTTAAAACTTGCTTTGACTGCATCAGAAAATCCGTGATAGTGAGGACATTCTACATGGAAGTATAGTTTTTTTCCTATTATATATGTTTTACTGTGTATGTTCACATGAAAATGTTCTCTTTATCTAATAAATTTTTGTGATGGTAAATTTTTTTTTATAACCTATATAAAAGTTATGTAAAGTTTCAAATATTTTTCAGGTAGATAAGTTACATTACATTCAAATGAATTATCATTTTGTATATCAGCATATTAAAAGGAAAAAGGTATCAGAATCTCCTAGAAAACAACGTAATTATATGAATATTTTATTTATTTGTTGTTGCAAAAAAAAATGAGAGAAATATGATAAGCAATCCACAAAAGAATGAGAGAAAAAGGAGATATATTACAAAAATGATGGCTAGATATAAATAAAATTAGATATTCTGGAATCGAAATTTCCCATTTCTAATGATAGCTGAATATAAAATTGCTGTCTTCCACGGTGTTGTTATTTAACAATAGATAATATATATATATATATGTACAAAAAGTTTGAATAGTTGTCATTTATCTAATTTTTCTGAATGGAGAGAAGAAACTACTATTTACAACTACATAATTGATTTATTACAAAAAAAAAAGTTTCGTAAATTATTATCCATCAAGAATCTACCAAAGAAAGTAGTCCACAGTCTCATGTAAGAGAATTAAAAACGTTTGGCAGATTCAATTAAATTCATTATTTACCACCAGTAAGGATCTAAAAATAAAAAATATTATAATAATTTTGACACAGCAAGAAACTACAGACCCCATGCTCCCCATCCACCCCATGCACCATAGCTATATGGGCCCCAACCCCATGCTGGGCCCCATGTTGGGCCCCATGCTGGACCCCATCCACCATACCATCCATCACGTTGTTCTGGCTTAGCTAAAAATCAATAGAATAGTGTTGATAACGAAATAGCCTCTGAACGAACCTCTTTGTGTAAACAAAGCACCAGTAGTAGTAGCACGAGCAGTCGCTGGCATTATATATAATTAATGATCAACAATATTTATTGTTAATACAAATCTTCTAATGAATTAACAAAAAATAATTCAAATATATATTAATCAAAGAATATGAACTTACTGATATGTAATAATGAACAATCAATATGTAATGATTGTGATGTTTGTTCTCATCAATATCCACGATCTTTTATAGGCAACTACAGAACACACCATGTCTTCTCGGTTATTATCTATAGAAAATTTCCACTTGTTCTTTTTGTTTTCAATTAGTTATAACATACCAATGTAGACGTTTCTTTCACATCGTTTCATAAAAATTACCGAAAATTTATTTTTTGAACATCACTTTGTCATATTGGTTTCATTAACGTTCTGCACGAAATAACAAATTAAATTGCGTGATATGAAATGTTATGAAAAGTGCTGGCGTTTTTTCTTTAAATTTTCTTCGCATCACTCGATTTCACCTGAATAAATCAAGAACAGAAACAACAAAAACAAACATGTATTCACATACCAACAATAAAATCATGTTCCACAAAAAAGAAAAACAATATGCAATCATGGACTGTTAGCTAACATTTTTTAATTAAATCATGAAGTTGACAAACACATGCAGCACATTCGACCAACAAGTTCGGACTTATCTTAGAGAATACGAAGATCAGCTACAAGTAAAATGGTTTGATCGCCATTGAAAACAAGACAATACGGCGTTATATTTATCAACATAGTTTATGTATTAAAGATTATTCATAGACGCAGACGAACAAGATCCAACAAAATTGATATAATTCATCCGAGATTACGAGTATGCATGAGTATTTTCTCTCTACTCGCTCCTACATCCTTAGTCACTTGTATAAGAATTTATTTATTTTAGTTCTTCACTATTTAAGATCAAACTTCGCATTGTTAATATTGGTTATAATACAGAATCAAAAGAAAACATGATTATCTTCGACATTTGTCTTTTCCATGCTTTCCAGGTGATAAAATGAGGGAATTTTGTTCAAAAAAATGTTCAAATCAAAATACTTTGTCTAAAAAAGTATGATTGATAAAAAACTGACAAGACGAGCTGAAAAATACTAAAAATATCATAATTGATAAATATAAAACAATCAGAAAAAAAGACATTGAGATGTTTTTAGGAAGATTAACATACTTCGACAAAACTATTTTATATTGTTAAATAAATTAATGAAGATATATTTATTTAAGAAAATAAAATAAAACTAAGATGATGTCAAACAAATCGTAGATGCACATAATGTCACTTCGATTGCAGTTGATTATGAATGAATTCATGCTAGATTTAAATACAAAATTATTCTACCTAATAACTTGTATAACTCAACATCAAAATAATTTTTATAAATTCTTGAAACATGCTTATCCCGTGATTTTTCTTTTTCAAAACAGAATTCAACAACAAATAATAGAGAATGAAAATAAAGTTAATTATAACAAACAAACTTTATTTCAATATTAAAATAGAAAATCAATCTAATTTTATTTTACAATTTTCATTTCAAATATTCACGTTTTTTGTAATTAATATGATGTTGATGAATAGCAGTAGGAATATCAATTATAGTTTAAAAATAATGATTACCTATTGAAATAAAATCTAATTCATATTCGACATTGATTCGTCATGTATATAGATTACGATAAAGTTCAACATCTTGTGAATAAATTCCATAACTAATAGTTTGATAATCTCTATTCATAGAAGTCATAACAGCGTCATCTATCTGACGTAATATTTATGTTTTGCTCTTATGATAGATAAAAATAGATGTTCTAAAGTGTGTGTTTGGGTGGATGAAGAATATGGGTGAATTTACTCTAAAATATTTTTATTTGATGACGTAGTTGAATACTATGCTTTATTTTGATTACAAATACATTCTAATAGTTCGTTTTCATAACTATTACGTTGTTTTAATTGTAAATTGATTGTCAATACATTTGAAAAAATTCAATTTTCTTATATAAAGATCTCTAAGATTTTATTTCACATAATTCTTTTTTTGTATTCATTTATAGATCTTTATATAAGAGGAAAAAAACTCGTTTACTATTGATATTCTCTAGCATTTATAACAAAATCATATAAGTTTAAGTAAATCTTGTCTAATTTCATTACATTATCATATTCTTGCAAATGTTATAAATTCGAACAATTTTTCTGATATTATTTATATTTTATTGTAATAGTTTTACATTTAACTGATAATTTCCAAACATCACATATAATGAGATTAACAAGTAATATATTTTTATACAAAATTCTGAATCATCTTTGATTAATAGACTAACAGTTATTTTTTGGTTTCATTTCAAGTATTTATTCTTTTTAAAAATGATAATAAGCAGATTATTTATGAAAATAAACTAATGAAACGTACATGAAATCGAAATAAAACATAGTATTAAATTACGTTTTTTCTCAATATATCCATATACAGGACGTATCAATGTTGAACGTGAGATAGATTTTATTGCAATTCACTTCATTTTCATTAGTTTTTGAGCCAACAATTACCTATGTATTAGAAACAACTAATGAATTATTAGACTTTTGAAAAGATGTTGGAGAGAAATAAATTATTATTCTTTTTTGATATAAAATAATTCGGCTCGCCAATCAGATGTTGACGCACTTCTTTTATTTTAGGAAATTTATTTTTGTGATTGCTGTCAACTGTTGAAATAGTCATTTCTACCTCTATGAATACAAAATAATTTTTTTTTGTTCATCCACAGAAAATTAGATAAGCTAGAAAAGTTTCATCAATATTGAGCCTACAGTTTTTTTTGCCATAATGTTTTAAAGCATGCTCGATGTACAAAGTTTCATAAAGCTTTTTTCATTGGTTATATGTCATTATAAATTCATCAAACATCAATATGATGCATGACAAAAAGTGTAAGAGAAAAATTGAATCACTAAAAGGATTGTATTTCTCTTTCGACCCTGATTTGATAAAGAAAAACATCGCCTACATATTGGCATACTACAATAATTACGTAGTCACAAGCAAGGGAAATTTATAATGAATAATAATACAATGAGTTCATTGGTGGCTTCTGTTTTGTTCGTTCTTTCGATAATGTTACAAACAAAGTTGTTTGCTTTAATCTTTTTCTTTCTCTGCATAATATTATTTTTAAAAGTAATTAGGTGACGTTTGTCCATGAGTAACAAAACAAACACACACAAGCATGCAAAGTCGTTAAACATCGAGAAAAAACAAGTTACTACGTATAAAATTGATCAGACGAATTTTAGTTGTCCATTAAATCAACCATTATCAGTTGTATTTCACATAAAGAACTAGCTTACATCTCAAAGTGACATGGGTGCAAAAAAATCGAAAAAAAGTATTGAAGAAATATCGAAACCGACGGCATCATCCAATATGCATCAACCTCGACAACGTATGGCTCAAAACTACGTTCTCTTCTGGGTAGATGCCAATATCAACGAAGGAAACAAGGATTGCCAAAACACGCTGACTCAATTGAAGAACGTGATCAACGAGGTCACCCTATGCACTCAACCGGATCAGTGCATTCAGTTACTCACCCAATTTGACGATGAACGAGTATTTATTATTACGTCAGGCTCCTTAGGTCAATATCTGGTTCCCAAAATTCATGGCATGCCACAACTAGATGCAATTTACATCTTCTGTAGCAACAAATCCCGACATCAAGAATGGACTAAAAATTGGACAAAAATCAAAGGTATTCATACAAACATCAAAGAAATCTGTAAAGCATTGCAATTAGGTGTTAAGCAATGCGATCAAGACTCAATTGCCGTAAGTTTTGTCCCGGTAAATGAAATGGCTTCAACTGATAATTTAAATCAGCTGGAACCAACTTTTATGTATACGCAAATATTCAAGGAAATTCTCCTTGATATCAAATATGATCACAAGGCAGTCAAGGACTTAGCAGCTTGTTGCCACGAAGTTTTTGTTGGCAATCTAATTGAATTACAAATTATTAATGAATTCAAACATGATTATCGTTCAGAAAGAGCAATATGGTGGTACACACGTGAATGTTTCACTTACAAAATGCTCAATGAAGCACTTCGAACTCTAGATGCTGATATAATCATTAGAATGGGCTTCTTTCTACGTGATTTACATCAGCAAATTCAACGGCTGTACGAACAACAGATTAGTACTTATCATAAAAAATCTTTTGTAGTTTATCGAGGACAAGGTCTTATGAAATCAGACTTTGAAAAACTTCGGAAAACAAAAGGTGGCCTAATATCATTTAACAATTTCTTGTCCACCAGTACAGATAAAGAAGTGTCCCTCGATTTTACTCGCACTGCTTCAACAGAGCCAAATAAGGTGGGCGTTCTTTTTATAATGTCCATTGATCCTTGTATAAAATCAGCACCATTTGCTTCCATCAAGAATGTAAGTTATATTAATCAAGAAGAGGAAATTCTCTTCTCAATGCATACCATCTTTCGAGTTAGTGCTATTAAACAAATGGACAATAGTAATCAATTTTATGAAGTCGAATTACAATTAACGTCGGATGATGATCCACAACTAAGATTACTTACTGATCGGATACGAAAAGAAGCTGGTAGTAGTACTGGATGGCAAAGATTAGGTAAATTATTGCTAAAAATTGGTCAATTTAATCAAGCTGAAGAACTTTTCAATGTATTACTTAAACAGACATCTGATGAAAGTGAAAAAGCAATTTATTATGATTGTTTAGGATATACTCATACGAATCAAGGTGCTTATGAAAAAGCTATTAGGGATTACGAAAAAGGACTTGCAATTAAACAAAAAACTCTTTCTTCAACCAATCCTGATTTGGCTACCTCATTCAGTAATATCGGTATGGTGTATAGCAAGATGGGAGAGTACTCGAAAGCACTCTCATTTTACGAAAAGGCACTCGAAATCAACCAAAAAACTCTTCCATCAAATCATCCCTCATTCGCTACTTCATACAATAACTTTGGCGGTGTATATGACAACATGGGAGAGTACGAAAAAGCACTTTCATTTTATAAAAAAGCTCTTGAAATTCGACAAAAAGCTCTTCTTTCAAATCATCCTTCATTGGCTATCTCATACAACAACATCGGTAGTATATATACTCGAATGGGAGAGTATTCGAAAGCACTTTCATATTACGAAAAAGCACTCGAACTTCGACTAAGAACTCTCCCTTCAAATCATCCTGATCTGGCTACTTCATACAGTAACATCAGTGAAGTATATAACAACATGGGGGAGTACTCGAAAGCACTTTCATTTCATGGAAAAGCTCTTGAAATTCGACAAAAAACACTTTCTCCAAATCATCCTGATTGCGCGCAGTCATGCAACAACATCGCTAAGGTGTATTACAATATGAAAGACTATTCGAAAGCACTTTCATATTATGAACGTGCTCTGAACATATTCCAACGTGTATCACCTCCGAATCATTCTCATATAAAAAGTGTGAAAGAGAGTATTGAAATTGTAAAAAAGAAATTATAAAGAATAAAAATATAATGAACAAATGCATTGATATGAGTGGCGGTACAGTACAAATAAATAACAAGTAATCATTGTGTCGAGATGACTTGATGAGGATAAGATTGATTTTTTGGCACTGATAATCAAACCTGTTATTGAAAATATTTGTTCACTTGCAGCAGATGTATCACATTAATTTTTGCACCTATTTATAAATATTCATGCATATGTACGTATCTATTTTGTTTATCAAAATACACGATAATGATTCCTAACTATATTTATTTTCTATTTAACTTATATTATGAGATAAATACCGCTAAATATTTTCTTTGCAAAAGTACTTGATATATGTTAATAACTTTCAGATTAACAATTGCTAATACATAATGCTGATATTAACATATTGACGACAGTCATATCTATATTTATGTTCTGTATAATGATGCTCTCGTTATTTTGACTTCATGGTTGACTAATTTTTGGTCAACAAAATTTTTTCTCTTTTCATGGTAACATGTTGTTGCTGTGCTACTTTTACATCGATTTCAAACACGTGGTGATGGCAAGCAACAAAATAAAATGTTTTATATGTAATAAAGACAAAATTACATATCCTTGTAGAGGATGTTCAAAAGAATTTTGTTTAATGCATTTAAATGAACATCAGCAGATGCTAAACGAAGAATTAAATCATATTATTAATGATTATGATCAATTTAAACAAAGAATTAATGAACAAAAACAAAATCCATTTAATCTTTCATTAATAGAACAAATTAATCGATGGGAAATAAGTTCAATTGAAAAAATTCAACAAAAAGCAAAAGATTATAGAGAATATATCATTAAATCTTTACAACCATTTATGAATGACGTTGAAATGAAATTTAAAGATTTACGTGAACAAATAAGACAAATTCATCAAGAAAATGAATTTAATGAAATTAATTTAAATTATTTTAGAAATCAATTGATGGATATTACAAAAGAATTAAATAATTCAACAAATCTTTCTATTCAACAAGATTCACAATCATTTATTAATGAAATTTCGATTATTTCATCAAAAAGTAAGTTTTTAAGAAATTATTTCTAAAAGAAAAATTCTAATTTGTTGAAAAACTGTAATAGAATAAAAAATAACGATGGAGAAGAGAAAAAAATCAATAAGAATAGTATTAATAGAAATAGAAAACTCAATTTTTTTATTCAACGAAAAACAATTTTTCTTCTTCTTTTATTAAAATGTTTTCTTTTCGTCAATTTCTAGAATCGAAACTCAATAAATGGAAACAAAATGCCATCACTGTAGCTGCTGGAAATGGCAAAGGACCGGAATTAAATCAACTCAATAATCCTAATGGACTCTCTGTTAACGGAAAGAAAAATATTTTTATTGCTGATTTTTGGAATCACCGTATTGTTGAATGGAAATATAATGCAAAGAAAGGACAAATCATTGCAGGTGGAAATGGTAAAGGAAATCGAATGGATCAGTTAAATAATCCAACAGATGTAATTGTTGATCAACAAAATCATTCTATCATCATTTCGGATCAAGGGAACAGACGAGTGATTCAATGGTTCAATCAAAATCAACAAATTCTCATTGAGAATATTCACTGTTATGGTTTAGCAATGGATAAAAATGGTTTTCTTTATGTTTCTGATTGGAACAAGAATGAAGTGAGACGCTGCAAAATGGGCGAAAATAACAAAGGAATTATAGTGGCAGGTGGAAATGGAAAAGGAGATAAATTAAATCAACTCAACAATCCTACTTTTATCTTTGTTGATGAAGATCAATCTGTTTATGTATCAGATAAAGACAATCATCGTGTGATGAAATGGATAAAAGATGCAAAAGAAGGAAGAATTGTTGCTGGAGGAAATGGTATTGGAAGAAATCTCAATCAATTATCTGCACCTAGAGGAGTAGTTGTTGATCATTCGAGTCAAATCTATGTGGTAGATTGTGAGAATGATCGAGTGATGCGTTGGTGTGAAGGAAAAGAAGAAGGTGAAATTGTTATTGGTGGCAATGGAAAAGGAGATCAATCAAATCAATTGAATTGTCCTCGTGGTTTATCTTTCGATGACGAAGGAAATCTTTATATTGTTGATTGGGGAAATTATCGAATCGAAAAATTTGAAATAACTTTGTAATTGAAAACTTGTAAAAAAGAAAAAAAATGTTTTGATGAATAAAAAATTGACAAATAAAAATAAAAAATATACTAAAGTTATACTGTTGAAATCAATGAAAAAATCGAATATAATTTGAAGAAAAGAATGTGGGTACCCATATATTTTGTCCCTTACTATTTGTCCTAAATACTTTCTATCCGATTTCATTTTGTCTCTTTACGATTCGTCTTAATTATATCTCGTCTCATTACATTTGGTCCTCTTATGTCTTGGCCTAAAAGTTAGGTATTCATTTTTTTTTTCATGATAATATGATATAAAATTTATTTAAAATCATTCAAACTCTTATTTCAAGTTCACCTTCCACATTCACTGTCTATTATTCCATCAGCCATCGAGTTTCTCGTAGCCAATCTGCAAATGTTCTCATTTTTGACCAAATCTCTTTTGTTTTTTCCACTTGATGTTCATCATTACTACCAATATCATTGTACCATCGTAGATTATTTATCGTTTCTTGATGAAGTTTAAGAAGAGCATCTTCATATGAGAGAGGTACAAAATTTACATGTTTACCAGTTACTTGTTCAATTGTTGTACATATCTGTTCCATAGTTAATTGTTCTGCTACAATTGGTACTATCTGTGCATTACCCCAACGATCAGAATATCGGAAACATTCTCGAACAATTTTACCTGTATCTCGTACATCATAAAATGGAATACATGCATGCGACAAAATTGGATAGCGAAATTCAAGATTTGCAACATTCGGTACGAAAAATGTGGCAAAATTCTGATAATAAAAGCCAACGTGAACAAAAGTTGTATGAGTAAAAGTATTGTCAGTAGGTAGTTGTCGAATATAATTTTCAATCCGAGTTTTATTCCTATAAAGTAAAAAATTTTATTTTAAATCGAGACTAAAATAGTACTGCCTGTTTTTCATCTTTTAGAATTTATCTCAATACTTTAAATAGTTTAGTAAATTCCTTTTTTTAATAATACTATTACTGTTTCAGTTTAACAGAGTACTCACATTAAATGCTGATGTAAATCGGATTGTTTTTCTTCGAGAACTACTGCATTTGGTAAAATACTTATGATGAAATGTTGTACATTGACTGTTCTCGCTGCTTCGACTAAGGTAACAGCTTGTTTATATTCGTCGTGATCCGTTGCATTCCAATAGCTAGTTATCGCAAAGACACCATATGCACCAGTAAATGCTTGACAGCATTCCTCATGATTATTGATATTACATTTAACCATATTAACGCCACGTCTTACGAGCTCCTATAGATGATAAACAAGCATAGATATTAATTTCAGATTTTCAAATATGTCTTATCATACACTACCTGATTATAAAATGACGTTAGATCATCAGTAATTCCGCGAATGTGCCATTCATCAGGATATTCTAGCAATGCTTCAATCACACTCATACTTTGTCGACCAATCGCTCCAACAACAGCAATTATTCGAGGCATGACTACTAAACTAAAATATACAATATAATCTACAAAAACTCCAAAATTTATGCAAAATAAAGTACAAAAAACGTATCAAAATCATTTTATCTTGTAGAGTATTTGAAGTTTTTATTTTTAAAACAATATATACGAATACAAGAAATAATGTTAATCAACTATTCTGGAACTTCCATTGTGTCAAAAACAATATCATATGCACTCCTATATTTAAACCATTGTTGTTGATCATGATAATAGGCTGAATGATCAGCAACAGCAAATAGTTGTGGCCCAGGTCCTATTGTTTCAAAATATTTTGCTGTTGATTCTAATAATCCACCACCTTCTCGATCAAATTCAACTTTTAAATAATCCCATGTTCTTTCAATACCCATTACGCGGCATGGTAGATTCGTTCGAAGACTAACATATGTGAAACTACACGTATTCATATTTATGGTTGTATATTTTTCGATGCAAGCTAATAATGAATTACCTGTCTGTTTTTATATAATATTTTTCACTTTCGAAAACAAGTCTGGAAGTAATAAAAAGAATGACGAATACTACGGCATTATATTTACTTCCTAATATAAAAATAAAATATTACCTGGCGCAAATAAATCACTCTTTTCTTCAATAACGAAATATATACATACAAGAACAGGCGTATTTTGTTATAAATGGCAACAAGTGATACTACCATAGCATTTTGGTACTTCAAAAATGGACATGTATGGTCACAAGAAGATACATGTGAATGGATTAAATATCGAGATATTGAAATGCAAATTATCGAAGAAGCTTATCAACAAGGAAAATCAGAAGTTCTTCTTGACAAATATATTATTAATCTCAAACAGTTCATTCAATTCAATCGACTTAATCTCTCCAAACAACGTCCTGTAAAACGTCAACTAGGTTGTAAACAACAACAATGTTTACGAGAAGAACGATTCTTTTCTCCATCTCTTCTCTCTTCAGCATCATCCTATGGGAATGCATTAGCATGGTGTCCCTTTCTTATTGAATGGTTGAAATTACCAGATGGTAAAAGAACTATTCTTGATTTTTCATCTTGTATTGATATTTGTATAAATGGAATTATTGAAGAAGCTAGAAAACATCAAAGCAACAGTGAAACAGAAGCTAAGTGGATAGCTGAACAGCTAAAAGCATGCAAGGGACAACCACGTCGTGAAGTTTCAAAAGTTTGTATTCAGTTATATACTCGTGAGAGTTTTCTTTATCATGTACTAAATACTGCTTTACGTAATAATGATTATTCAAAACTGAATACACTTGGACCACTTTGTTTTCTAATGCGTGATTATTCACGTTCATGTACTGAGTTTATTGGAACAGTTTATCGAGGAGTACAACTACCATTTGCTACTATCGAGTCTTATAAACAAGCAATAGGTTCTTGGCATACGTGGTCTAGTTATACATCAACAAGTAAAGACAGAGAAATGGCTGAATTTCGAGGAAATACATTGTTTATTATCGAAATAACTAATATTAAACTGAGTGCTCCACGTGCTTATGATGTAGCAAGCATTTCACATTTTCCTAGTGAAGAAGAAGTACTTTTACCAGCTGGAATTTCTTTTCAAGTTATTAGCGTCGAACAAGATCTACAACAAAAATATATAATTCATATTAAACTTTGATTATAACTTCTCTCAAAAGTTATAAATACAAAAATATATTCAACAATTTTTTTTATATCAAGAGTCTCAATGACTTGTGTATGTAGTTGTATATTTAAATAAAAATTTGTAAACATCTACATTTCTACTGTACAATATTTTTATATATCTAAAAACGATTAGAACTAATATAGAAGTTGTATTAGATTGTAAAACTTTGCGTATATTCAGCAAGCTATCTAATTAACAATATTATATGTTGTCTTATATAGTTGAATAGTCAAATATCAATTTTATTATAAGAACTCATATATTGATTATTAATATAAAAAAAGCGTTGAAGTTAGTAAATAAGAATTAATATATATATTATAATAATATAAAATTAGTAGTCAATTTTATAGTGAATATAATGAAGTATTATTTTCCAGAAAACATACAACGACAATCATTATTTGGGCGTATACCAAAATTTCGACAATACCCACCATGTTTATTACATCCAGAATCGTTGCATCCACCCCATCCACTTCCCCCAACAACCTAAACGGTCGATACAGAATAAATAATTATTGCCAATAAGAATATCAATTTTATACAAGACATCATAGTTGATACACAATAATTTTATATACGAAATGAAATAAATTGAAAGACATATTTATACGGATGTGAGACACAAAAATGTAAAATAACTCATTATACTTGTAAATGTAATCCTGTTTTTTAATAAAAATAAAAATATACATCTTGGACTGATTTCACAAGTATAATTGATTAATATCGTGATACTGCACAATTATGTAAATCGCTCGTTTTTCTCTGTAAGTATTATGTGTGAATAGACGTTTTCATGTATCAAAGTTCAAACCATCGTATCAAACGAAATCAATGATTTAAAAGATTTTACCATATAAATTCGATATTTAACATTATAATTGAAGTTTATTCTTGTCATTAAGTTTTTTTAAATTTCTTCATATCAGTATTAGAATTATCAAGAAAGAGAACTAATATAGACAATAAATATTTATATTCACACATGTTTTTTATTTAATAAAAATTTTAAAAATAAAACTCTTCAGTAAATATTATTGAGTATTAGAACAAAAAATTCAAGTTAAATTATTGATCACATTTATGCAAATATGATTTGAGTATAGCTTCACTATAATAAGCTGCTGCTGTTGATTTTGATATTGCCACTGTTTCTATAACATGTTGTGCATCTTGTCTAGATTCAAAATTACATGTTGCTCGTTTCCATAATATTCTCAATTCCGGAAACCATTCTTCTCGAATAGAAAATAATAATTCCAAAGCTTGATTTACTGTTTTAGATAAATCTGAACAATGTGGTGGTTTATCATCGACTGTTAACATTCGTTTGGGAAAAAACTCATCTTGATAAGTATTAACTTTTGATAAATTTGTATTCTCCCGTGACATACCAAGAAAATCTACAATATTTGCCCAACCTAAACCAAATTGTTGTTCATTATAAGATGGCAGTAGTGATACTTTTGATGCAATTAATGGAAGAGCATGTTCAATTGAAGCAACATGAGCTGACCACATTGGATTTAAATAACATTTATCAATAATACGATCATCAATATAATCATTCTTACAATAATTTGGTTGTGACAGATTAGAAAAAAATTGACGCCATGTAATCATAGCTTCAGGTACTTGACGAAAACATTCATCAGAATTCGAACAAAAATTTCCTTGTTTTACAATTTGAAAAGAACCTTGTTGAATAATTCCTACATCAACAGCAGCAAGAAATGGAATAACAGATAGATAATAATTAGCAGATGCCCACCAACTATCTATGGATATTTGTTGAGTTCCATTTGAAAATAATCTATTCGAATCAAATTGCCAACTAAATTGTGCAGGAAGACCAAATAAAATATTCGATGCATTTGATAATGAACAAAATGGCATTAAAGGTGTTGTTGTTATAATTAATATTTTATATAAACCAAGTCTATCTAAATATAACCATGGATTAATTAAATGAGATGTTGTTGAATCATTTTTAACGAATGGATAATCAGAAATTGATGAAGGAGCTTCATTCCATAATTTTGGTAAACGTTCATTCGCATTTGATGAAATAATAACGAGATATATTGTAATGATTAATAAAAACATAATAGCTAAATTTCTTTCAAAAAAAGAATGAATAGGAGTTGCGTCGAAAATAATAATATGATATACGAAAAAAATATTTTTTTTCTTCTGTCATGATAACGTTAATATACTGATAAGTATATATTTATTTATGACGTACCCAAGATCGACCTTCGCTATGAAATAACATATTAAAATAAATACACTATGAATCTAAAGTACTTTTACTTTCGCAAACCATGATACTATTTCTGTAATAGTTTTTATTAAAGTTCGTTGAATTATTGATGACTTACACTATTATTACGGAAAAACATACGTTTGATAAAAAAATATTATAAGAAATTATTGGATAACAAATAAATGAACGAGTTTGATGGAATTGTTTTTCGAAGTTTCTAGACAAAAATCAATCTTACTAAATAGACATATTGATTTAGTAATCATTATCAAGGATGGAAATGGGTTGATCCATAAATCGACCCTAAATAAAAAATACGACGCAAAATACTTCCGGTTTAAAATCTATGTTCCTCCCTTTAACACTAAACAAAAGTGTCTCCTACATTTAACATCAAATAGTACCAACGATTGGCATTTGATTCTACATTAAAACTTCCTTTTATATCTACACCCAAATCACCCATTAATCACATCAGAGCAATATTTATCTTATAGACGTATATAAATTCAGTACTGAACTAGTTTAATATCTGCTTCAATACGGATTTTATTTATTATTATAACATCAAAGCAACTAACAGACTAGATATTCTTTTCATTCAAAACAAAACTACCAACGATTAACAGGATATATTGTTTTAGTTTTCTTCCATTTTGGATCCATTTGTGTTACAAATGGATCTTTTGCTAATGCATCAATTAATTCTTGATCTGTATGAATGGTTAATGATCTTGCATGTAACATAATACGATGTGGTTTATAATCAATAGGTTCTGTATATAGATAATCTCCAATAATCGGATGACCCAAATAATTCATATGTAAACGAATTTGATGTCGTTTACCAGTTAAAATTCTAACAAGTACTTTTGATGCTGGTTTACCATCATATTCACCATGTTCTAATATATCAACTTGAGATTGTGCAGGTTTTGGATGTGTACAATATGGATGATCATTTGTACACATAATTCTACCATAACATGAAGCATTTTCTCCAATTGGTACATCAATATATATTGGATAAGATGAATGAAGATGACCATGTACAAGAGCTAAATAATATTTTAAAACACGTTTATCAATAAATGCTTTATAAGTAAGAAAACTAGCAGCAGTTGAACGAGCAAAACACATACATCCACTTGTTCCTATAAAAGATTGTTATTCATTAAATTAATTTTTATTAAAAATAAATCAATATACCTAAATCAAGTCGATGAGAATATCGAATATCTTCTACTTTTTGTGCTAAACTTTTTTTCCATTGTTCTGTTTGTTCTTCAGTAGCTGGTGGATCTTGTCTTAAAAATTTATCTATTTCACGTTTTTCAAACCATTTTTTAACTTGTTGTGTAACATTAACTTGTGCTGGAGCATCAAATGCATCAATTGGAACAAGATCATCTTTATTAACAACAATATAATTTTTTGATTCATATACAACTTGAATATCATCATTTGATGATGGATAACGATAATGTTCGGATCGTTGTTGACGATACCATTGTAATATAACTGAATACCATGGTGCACCAAAATAACATAGACGAGAAAATGTTGCACATGCACCACTTACATCAACACCAAGTAAATTCATTTATAAAGAAAATTTTTCTAGAAAAATTTTTATTTTATCAAATAAACAATTTAAACAAAAAACAATGAATATTTGACTAATCCAAAAGAAAATTTAATTTTATGAAATAAGAAGTGAATCATTTACAGATTTATATTGCATAAATAATCACGATTTATCCTAAATTAGAACTATAATTAAAGAAATACAAATGAATTAACTTACTTGAAAAGTATCTGATGGATTCCTATAATAGTCAATTAAAAAAAATGATGTAGCATTAAAAAAAAATTAATTAAATAATTTACCATAATTGTTCATTATGAATAATTTCAGCTAAACCTCCAGATATCATAGGAAAATAATCTGTATCAGAATAAGATTGATTAACAGGATTAATACTTGGACACATAACAAGTCGATTAATAGTTGATAAAGATTGATTTTTCTGTTTTTCGATTATGTGTTCATCATCCTTTTAAAAATATTAAAATAATTATATATTATATTATTATTTAAACATACTTGTAATATCTGATGATTAGAAATTTGATCTTTAGATGGAAGATGTTTATGAATAAAAGCTAACATTGATTATTATTTAAAATATAAATTAGTTAAATTAATTTATATAGTTAGAAAGATGATTCATTATCGATGAATCAATTACTGACTGGTTATTATTCAACCATTCTTATCAGATTTTTATTTTTTTGTATTTAATTTATAATAGATAATAATATTTATTGAAAAAAATTCAAATAAAAATGTTTACTTGAATAAAAATATTTATTTATATGAATATTATTCATCAATAGAGGTCGCCTTGGTAACTTGTTTATTTACAATCATTTGATGTTAAGATCGGAATAAAGGAAAGCTGTCTTTAGTTTCAGAAATGTTCACTAAGATTACTCGTCCTTTAATATCAAATGGATCTTTGCCATTATCATTTGTATATCGACCATTATCAATATCGAGTGTTTTCTTCAAAAATACTCCATCAAAAACAGGTATTTATTATTATTATTATTATTGATTTATCTAGATTATTCTAATTAATCTATTTAGATGATAAATCATTAGTTGAAAAGAAAACTGATGAAAAAATTTTACGCGTTGAAGATTCATTAAAAGATTTATCATCAATTAAATGGCGTACAGAACATAATGGAAAACGTTTATGGCCTCATGATCAATGGCCAGAACGTGATTTAGTCAATTTTCCACCATATAAACTTCGCGAAGCACCAAATGCAGTACGTTGGTATTGTGTACCAGAATCATGGTTTAAATTTTTCTATGATAAAACCGGTGTTACTGGACCATATATGTTCTTTTATGGTTTAATTATATATGGATTTAGCAAAGAATATATCGTTTTGTGGTATGATTTCACAGAATATCTTATTTTGGCTGCAGCTGTCATTACCGTTGTCAAAAAGTAAGAATGAATTTAAAAATTTTACAATATTTTTTCCTCTTTTTTTCTCTTAATAGAGTTGGTCCAATGGTTGGTGATATATTTCGCGGTTGGCATCAAGAAGAAGTTGATCGTTATACTTCTGTCGTTAATAATTCAAAAGCCATGGCCGGTAAAATGTTACATGGTTATGAAGAATCATTAGAACGTGCTAAAAGTGTTGGAAAATTAGGTGACGCACGAAAAGATATTATTAATATGGCATTAGAAACAACATATCGTGAACGAATGAGAACAATGTATGAAGCTGTTAAAAGACGTTTAGATTATCAAGTTGCTCTTCAAAATGCACGAAAAGATTTTGAAAGAACAAATATGATTAATTGGATTACTAGTGAAGTTAAAAAATCAATAACAGCTAAACAAGAACAAGATAGTTTACAAGCATGTCTTAATCAACTTAGACAAATGGCCTCATCATCACGATAAATTTATAATATTGTCATGGACAATTATCCGAAAAAAGATTCTAATTTTTTTTTTCTTTTTCCTTGTAGTCCTCTACCGAAGTTTAGAAAAATAAACATATATACACTCTGCTTTTATTTGTAAACAAAAAGAATTAAAATATTTTTCTATACTATTACAACAATCAATGAATAACTAAATTTAAGTCAAATGAAAAAATAATAATAATAATAGCAAAAAAATTCGGAAAAGATAATTGGAAACTATCCTTTTCTTGTCATGTCCATCCTTGGTTTATTCAAGGCGATATAATATATCTCTCAACGTATTTCATATATTGATTAAGGTTATCTACTACATCCTCCAGTCTTTTTTCATTAGAAATAAGATAAATATTTTATTCGATTACTTCAAATAAGAAAACACTATGTTGCTGAAAGGGTTGCTAATATCGATTGTAATCATCTATATTTTTTTCGTCTCTATCAAATGATTTACTACGAAATTGTAAAAAGATACGACAATGAATCAATTGATTATTATCTCTTTCTAAATGACGTACTTAAAGAATAGGTCGCACTCACGTGAAAGAAGCACATATTGATTTTATGTCTTTCTTTTCTGTTTGTTTTGTATGGGTATATTGTATTTAAACACGAGAAACATATTCTTTTTTTTCGATTCTTTATTACTATTACTTCTTCGTATCATATGCGTACATTTTTCTTTTTTAAGATATTAATATTATAAGCTAATAATATGAATTATTTTTACTAGTTTGTAAAATTTAAAACATCAGGTGAGTAATGAAATTAAACTGCTATTGCATTTGATTGCTATTAGCTCATTATTATTATTATTATAAACAAAAAAAAGTGTATCCTTTTCGAATTAGTATGTCTACTGGAGCGTTTAGTCGATTATTTAATTCAAGTATAAATATATTTTTCAAACGATTTGGAGTATCATTAGTGAACACTTTATTAATTTATACAATATCATTATTATTTGTTCAATTACCAACATTATGGAATGTAATAATGACATTAGGAAAAGATAATGAACGATCTAGATTACAAAAACGAATTCGTGCACAACTAACAGTTCCATCGGATCCATCATCACCGTATCGTGCAGTTGAAGTTCTCCATGAACTTCGAACTACACCTAATGAATATATTACAACTTTGGCTGATATACCTGATTATGCCATTCAACGTTATGCTGATAAAGAGACACAAGGTGTTCGAGAAATTCTTGATGTAGAAGATGAAAAACAACCAAATGGTAAAATATTTAAAAAGGTTTCTATTTATAATTTTCCAAATAAAAGTAATTATTTAATTATGAATATTTAGTTTATATTGGGTGAATATAAATTTACTACTTATCGTGAAACATACAAGCATATTGAAGGTTTTGGTCGAGGTTTATTATCACTTGGTGTTAAATCAGGTGATAAAATTTTAATTTTTGCTGAAACACGTCCTGAATGGTTATTAACTGCATTTGCTGCTTTTCGGCATGGTTTAATTGTTGTAACACTTTATTCAACATTAGGCGAAGAAGCTGTTAAACATGGCATTAATGAATCTGAAGTATCAATTATTATAACTTCCTATGAATTACTTTCAAAACTTGATGTAAAATATAAGGTTATTTTTTTCTTCTATAAAAATTTTCATTTTTAGAAAACATTAGATCAAATTAAAACCGTTCGTCATGTGATTTATTTTCCTTCAATTACTAAATCACAAACAATAAAATTACCTAACGATAAAAACAATATTCACTATCTTTCATTAGAACAATTAGAAGAACAAGGAAGAAATGCAAATATTAGTAAATTTGAATTCTTTATTTTTTTATTTTTGTAAAAATTTTATTTATTTTTAGATGAAAATATTTTACAACAACGACCAAATAAAACAGATATTGCTGTTATTATGTATACAAGTGGTAGTACTGGAACACCGAAAGGTTATTTTTTTAAAGATCATTTTTATCAACCTTTACAAAAGTCTTATGAAAAATCATCTTTTAAGATTTATTAAAGCATGAAATTAGTTTTTCTTATTTTGATAGAAAAATATGTTCGAAACATATACCTAATTGAACGTATTATCATGATACGAATTTCATCATATAATATTCTCCTTGTCAGAGAGAAGAGTCTAGCAGAAATAAATTGTTTGCTTGCTTGTGTGTCCGCACTTCACTGATTGGTCCAAAAATTAGATAAAGATATACAAGGAATTTTTTTTATAACGGTTGACCGAAAGGAGAAATCGGAGTCGAAGAATTCAAATCTGACTTCTGTTTTGTTTAATTATATAAATCAGTAGCTTGATAATTGTTTAGTAACGCGATTTCTACGAGAACGAGCGTTACTTGTTCTCTACTCGGAGCATCCTATAGGATTATCATTGATCTTCTCCTCATAATAGTATGGGAAAAGATAAAAGGAATAATTCATGTTACCGGAACTTAGCCAACTGTCATAAAACAATATTAATATAGAATACGTGTGCGAAGATTCGGAACCCTTTTTTTTCTTTCAGCTAAATAATTCATTTATTGAATATATAGGTGTATTGATAACACATGAAAATATAATTGCTGCAGTAACTGGTGAACAAGAACGTGGCTTTCGAACGATCGATGTTAATAATGATATATATATTGCGTATTTACCATTAGCTCATATACTTGAACTTTGTTGTGGTTTGTTTATTTAAAAACAAAATGAATTTAAAATTTGATTTTTTTTGTTTAAAGAAATTCTTATTTATTATATGGGTGTTAAATGTGGTTATTCATCTCCACAAACATTAACAGATCAATCAACAGCAATAAAACGTGGTCAAAAAGGAGATTTACAAGTTCTTCGACCACATATTATGTGTTGTGTACCGGTAGGAATATATATATTTTTTTAAATTAATTTTGTTTTTACGTTATTCTATTTATTTAAAAGACAATTCTTGATCGTATTCATAAAGCTGTAAATGAAAAAGTGAATCAATCCAATTTTTTTCGACGTCATTTATTTCAATTAACATATAAAATAAAAGTTAAACGTCTAGAAGAAGGTCTTGATAGTCCATATTTAAATAAGTAAATATTATTTTTTTTCTCCTCTAAAGAATATTTAAATTCTTCATGTTTTTATAATATTTCAGATTAGTTTTTAATCGTTTAAATGAAATGGTATTAGGTGGCCGAGTTAAATCAATGATGTGTGGTGGTGCTGTTTTAAGTGGTGAAACTCAACGTTTTGTACAAGCAGCACTTTGTATAACACTTTTTCAAGGTTATGGTCTAACTGAAACATGTGCAGCTGCAACTATTGCTGATGGTATACAGAATTTTATCTTTGTTTTTTTTTTCAAATTTATTTTTAATAGAACATGATACATCAGTTGGTCGAGCAGGTTATCCACTTGTTTCATGTGAAATTCGTTTAGCTGATTGGGAAGAAGGGCAATATCGAAATACGGATAAACCAAATCCACGAGGAGAAATACTTATTGGAGGAAAAAATGTCGCTCAAGGTTATTATGGTAGTGCGTCAAATGAAGATAGTAATTTTAAAATCATTGATGGTACAAGATATTTTTGTACTGGTGATATTGGAGAAATATTTCCTGATGGAATTGTTAAAATAATTGGTTTGTTTGTTTTTTTATTCTATATAAATTTAATTATTCGATTTTAGATCGAAAAAAAGATTTAATAAAATTACGCGCGGGTGAATATGTTTCATTGACAAGAGTTGAAATGGCTATAAGTAAATTTTGTATTATTGAAAATTGTTGTTTATGTGCATCATCATCAGCTGAATATACAGTTGTCCTAATTTGTCCGAATTCTAAACAAATAACTGTAAGATTAATTTTTCTTTTATTTAATTTTTGTAATTTTTTTATTCTTTTAAAGAGTTATTCAGAAAAGCATTTTAATGAAAAAGAATGGCAAAAATTAGTTGATAACGATGAATTTAATGAACAAATTCTTAAAGATATTCAAGATATATGCCAAAAAAATGGTATTGAAAAATTTGAAACTCCTCAACGTATTAAAATAATAACGGAATTATGGACACCTGAAACTGGTCTTGTTACTGATGCACTTAAATTAAAACGTAAAGCAATTGAAGAAAAATATTATAATGATATTGAAAAACTTTATCTTGATAAACCAAAAAAAAAGAAATTATTAAATGATTCATAGTATTAGTCGATCATTTTGTTTTGTCTTGTACTTTAGATATCTTTCCAGTTTTTTTTCTTTTTGAGAAACGATAAAATATGATTTAAATAATCGATTTGTTATTTTGATATTTATATCATCAAAAAATTAATTGAAAACAAATGTATATATTAATCATATAGTCTACTTAGAATTTTCATTATTTATTTATGTATGAATTATTACAGAAGACAAATATTGAATTGAATATTTAATAATATATGTTCATCATACAATTCCCAATTGTTATGATTTCACTTGGATAGATTTCAATTGAATTTATTGGAAAAAATGAGATATTCCTTCTTCTTTTTTTTCTACGCTTAATCTATAAGAAGGTCTTTCGTTAATCAAAAAGGCAGATTAAATTGATAAATAATTCAATCAATATTTAGTGATTGATAAAAGACATTCTTTTATGAGCGAAGACAAAGAATGAGAATGATCTTATTAATAATAAAGAAGAAGAGAAGTATTCATCATGGAAGCGAAACGATGCACATGCTGTGCCATACTGAGACAACTTGTTCTTTATCCATATTAACGATTGTCAGTATGAATGAACATCATCGATACTTAATTGTCTCCAGAAGTAATATACTTATTCATCTTATGGTCATTTCACTGTTATAACAAAAAAAATCATTTCTTTCACGAAATTTTCTTATCTATTAGAAATGCAGCTGTTCGATGACCTCTATTTTTTTTCTGTTCTTCAATTTAGACGGGAACATGAATATACATATATAAACGTCTGTCAGATATATATATATATGTACATATAAACACAAAAGAAAGAAAAAGAGAGAGTGAGTGACACGTTACTGCTGTTCACTAATACAAATCGGTTTATTAACCATTATAACTCGATTTAACAAATGTTTTTTTTCCTATCTATAAATTTCCTATAGTAAGTAAGTTTTTGTAATTTGTATTGATTTAATTTGAATAGTTTTTATTTTGTTCGTCAATGAAAAAATAATGATTATTTGCAAAGGAAAGACTTATGTATTTCTTTTTTCCCCTTTTTTCTTTCGATGTGACCGGAGAGAAAGAGAGAAAGAGAGAGGGCAGACGGACACGATGAACGAGCGAACAGGAAGTTAATACACAACGATGGAAGCAGAAACATCGACATACCACTCGTCTTTTTTTTTCTTTATTCTTTACTATCAACTTCATCTTGAATACTTGTCATTTTTTGTTGTTTTGTCCTCTCAATTTGTTACATCATTTTTTTTAGATAATGTTCGAATAATGTCATCAACAATTGAAAGTCCCTCGAAATCATCAACAACGAATATACGTTATCATAATAATGGAATAGAAAGTGATTCAACAGCGACACATTCAAATGGAAATGGTGTAACTGCTGTTGTTGTTACAAATCCACTTGCATCATCATCATTTTCATCGACAACATCTCGTTATCAATCATCAGTTATGAATAAATATAAAAATTTAGCAACACCAGATTTAACACATCCATTATCAAGTCTCAAACAAATGACACATGTTTTGACAAATAATAATGGAAATAATACACCATTAGATTCACATGCTTATTTTGCATCAAAATATGTACGTTAAATTTTCTATATAGTTTTTTTAATTATAAAGCATATGCGTGCATATAGACAAACAACTGTTATGTCTCGAGATGAACAGACGATATTCGATAGATTTTATTATTTAAGCATGATGGCATTTCGTTTGTTATAGATCAATAAAAAAAAGAAATCTCGATGATCTTTTTCTTCATCTAGTAAGAATGTATCCTATTGATTACTTTATTCTTGTTTCGCATACCATTAATAATGATACTCATCACGTAGATGTGATGAATAAAAAAGGATCTTTTCTTTTTGATCTCCCCCCCATAAAATGTATGTTTTATTCGAAACGAAAACTGAATTGATTACTCATTATTATTGTAACAAAGATCAAAAAAATAAAGTTAAACAATAGATCTATATGTTAATCCGTCTAGAACAATAGGTAGAAATTCTCGTTCATTAGTTTATATTCGAACGATGTCATACATAAATGTATGTATCATTAGTCATAGATCTATCTCAGTAGAATTAATATAATATTCTTTTGAGAATTGATAATAGATGTTTAATATCTTTTCTTTAGGTGATTAGTTCTTTTCACTATGATAATCTTTTCTTGTCAAAAAACAAACTAGCTATTACATCATGAAGAATTAGACATAGACAATATATACGTCATCTTATGTTTAATTATATCGCATCATCTTATATAAGCAAATAGATTATGTTTTTTCAATTAGTCAATAAAATAAAAGCTATTTTCTTTATAGAATGAAGTTCTAAATAAATCTATGTAGACTATCTTTTAATTAAGTTCGATAAAATGATTAAATTGAATTTATTAATTTAGCGTCGTGCTGATCCATATCTTCGTTCAACAACATCAACACCGAATTCAACACCAACAAAGACATCAACTACCGCAACTAATGAATCAACAACAACCGATGGTCCACCACCAGTTGCTCCTCCTCCTCCACCACCTCCTCCACCGCCACCACCACCAACAATATCTGCTCCTCCTTCATCATCTTCATCAACATCAAGTATAAAAGGTCCATCTAATCGTTTAGCATTAGATGATCTTCATCAATCTCCAATTCTTCATAGTACAACAACACATAGTCATACATCAAATGGTGAATATCGTTCAACTCTTTATCCAAATATAGTTAATAATCCAACATCAACACCAATACCATCTCCACCACAAGGTTATGGTTCATCATCATCAACAACAACAACAACAACAACTAATTCTACAATATCAAAATTAATGCGACCACGTCAAGAATCAGAAACAAATTCAGTTAATAAAGAACAACCAATAGCACCAAGAATTCGTGAAATAAGTTCAAATGTTGGTTTTGTTTCATTACCTGATCAAGTTCATAGACGAGCAGTTAAAAAAGGTTTCGAATTTAATTTAATGGTTGTTGGTAAGTTTTCTTTTATAAATCATCATTCTAATGAATTACATATGTTTTTAGGTCAATCTGGTTTGGGTAAATCAACATTTATAAATACATTATTTCAAACTGAACTTTATGGTCAAGATTTTCCATCAACAATTCATAGAAAAAAGAAAACTGTTTCAATGGATTCATCATCAATTATATTAAAAGAAAAAGGTGTACAATTACGTTTAACTATTGTTGATACACCAGGTTTTGGTGATGCTGTTGATAATTCAAATTGGTTTGTATAAAATTTTCTATTTTCATATAAAGAAGCGAATTAATTGTTCGGATAAAGATAGAATATTTATGATTGATTATAACATCGATTTATTTTGTTTATTTTTCATAATTGCTTTTATATGTCTATTATGTCAAGTTGATAATGGATTATAACCAATCTTATCCGTTGTATGACAAGATCAAGATCATCTCATATAATAGTAATGATCAACTATGCGTTAAACAATCAATTGTATTGTTTATAATATATGATGAATAAATTGATTTCTTAGTCATAAATATTGAACATATGTGAATATTCTAAAAATAACTTTTGATTAGCTTCATTTATTTTAATCACTCATTTTCCTATTATATTAGAAGACATACTGAGATGAAAATAATTACTCTAATTAAAATTAATACTAGATTATTTCTATTTTTAGTTGGCAACCAATTATCGATTATATTGATTCTAAATATGAAGAATATTTAAATGCTGAATCTCGTGTTATTCGTAAATCTCATATAGTTGATAATCGTGTTCATTGTTGTTTGTATTTTATTACACCAACTGGTCATAGGTTTGTTAAATAATTCGCTTTTTTTTAATTTTCATTGTTTTTTTTTTGGATTTAGTCTTCAATCATTAGATATTGAATTTATGAAACGTCTTCATGATCGAGTAAATATAATACCTGTTATAGCAAAAGCTGATACATTAACATCAGATGAATTACGTTTATTTAAAAAATCTATTATGCAAGATATAACAAATGAAAAAATGAAATTATATGAATTTCCCGAATGTGATGATGATGATGAAAATAAATTAACAAAAATTTATAAAGATAAAGTACCATTTGCTGTTGTTGGAAGTAATTTTATATTAGAAAAAGGAAGTAAACGTACACGTGTACGACAATATGCATGGGGAACTGTTGATGGTAAATATCGATTTTTTATTACATATTAAAAAATAAGAAAAAGAGTTTCTAATGCTAAGAATCCGGATTTTAATTTATCAACTCGTACTATTTACATAAGATTACTGTCTCTTCGCCATTGGCAAAAATGTGGGGGGAGGGGTTGCGGGCAAAACTACAATGGACATTCGCGATTTGGCGTAAGCCCAGTGGATTTTCGCCAACTGTAATGACACTGGTGAAATTCGAGAATCTCTTTATAGGAATAGGATTAAACCGTGACAACCTTAGCATGTTTTCGTCCCTGAAAATGAGATCGAAAGCTCCACTTGTATCTCTGGTTAATAAGAATTAGTACTCAAATCTCGTTTCTATTCCTCAGAACGCGATACCACTACTAGAAACTATTATATAAATTAGCAACAGTGTTTTATCCAGGTTTCTTTTATCGAGATGGGCGCCGCCTCCTCGCTGGATAAAGCACTGTTTTTACTACAGTAAAAAATTTTCGAAGATTGATCTATCGCTTATATACTTTGCTGTTTTTTTTACATTTATTAATATTATTTCCAATTGATTGAATTTAATTGTATGATTTTGTTTGTTTTTCTAGTTGAAGATGAGGTTCATAGTGATTTTATAGCATTAAGAAGTATGCTTATACGAACAAATTTAAATGATTTACGTGATGTCACACATAATATTCATTATGAAAATTATCGTTATAAAAAATTAAGTTCTTACAATGGAAATGATACAAAAAATGGTAAAACAATGCAATCAACATCTGTGAATAAGTAATATTTAACAATATATATTTGTTGATTGTTTTTTTGTTTTTGTTTCGTAGGAATTTTTTAACACAAATAGATGATGAAAGAACTGAAACGGAAACAAGATTAGAAAAAATGTCACGTGATATGGAAGCTGTCTATCAATCGAAAGTAACAGAAAAAATGCAAAAACTTGAAGAAAGCAAACAAAATGTAAAAAGACTTTTTATTTTCAATTAGGAATAAAGTTTTTTTTTTAAATTTTAGGTTTTAAAAACTCAAGAAACATATCGATTAAGTATTCAACAAGATGAAGAACGTCTTCAATTAAAACGTGATGAATTTGAACGTAGTAAACGTGAATGGGAAGAAAGTTTAACAAAAACTGGTTATCATGATCAAATTGGATCACTTACGTAAGATTTTAATAATTTCATTGATTAATCTTTTTTTGTTTTCTATTATTATTTTAGAAAAACGGCAAAGAAAGGTCTTTTTTAAAAATTGTTTCTTTCATGTTAAATAATCTCATATAAACTTTGTTCTTTTGTGGTTGTGCTAACTTTTTTCGTTTTTTTTTCCTTCTTTGAATATAATGAAAAACATAATTAAATTTAATTGAATATATTGTTGTTATGAACAAAAAAAAAACAATTTTATTCAGTTTGTTGATCATCAATAATATCATTATAATTATTTTCAGTTTCATCATCGGGTATTATATACATCATTTTTTCTTCTTGAAAGATTTCTTGAGCACGTTGAATATCTTGAGATAAGAGTAAAGCTTGTTCAAGTGTATCACATCGGTGAAGTATATTATTATTCAATCGATTGGAATTTGTCGAATCAATCGAAATTTGAATGAAAGCACAACCATCAGCATCTTCTATTAACGAAAATTTATATATATATAAAATCAGAAGCCGCACAAAATAGAATCGCGATAATGCACGAACAATATATTTTTTTTTTCTTCGATTCATTTGATTTAGTAGATCGTAAAAAAAGAGGAAAAAATGTATTTTTTAAGACCGATTTTTTTTATAAACCAATTTTCTGTATTGATGAATGTTAGAACGAAATCTATTTTTTCGAGTGGTATCTAATGATACATCAATACTCTATCATATGAAATCATTCAATGATGTTTTAATTGATCTATTGATGAATTACGATGGCATCAAGAGAATGTCGGTCATAACGTACAAACTATTTTAACAGTCAAAACATTTCTAAATTATTATTCAATCGATTTTTTGGTGATTTTTGCTCTCATCAAGGCCTGATAGGAACGAAAAATCAAAGGAGAATATATCTTTTCTCTATAATCGTCGAAAATATTCGATTTTTTTAAATCTCTATATCGTTTACGGTAGAGATATCAATCCAATTTTCACTCTAAAACTTCCTCGATTCTCCTTGTTCTATTTTCCTCAATAATTTAGCAATCACTTCGTCCACTCGCTCAAATAGAGGGTGATCATCTTCTCGCAGCTAATATTGACCGTATGATCCTTAAATACATCCACGGACCAGCATTCTAATGAATAGGAAAATTCGTAAATACTGAAAAGCTGTATAATATCGCTTTATTTGACTGTTTGTGTATCGAGAAATGAAGAAATAATTTTTAAAAATATCAATTCATGTAAAACACTCTGGTCCGTCAAGACCGAATGTCCCTTCCAAGGGACATTTTATATCTCTATAAGAAAAAAATTTTTTTTTTTACTATCGATTATTCTTATTGAGGTACTAGACTTTTTATTTTTGCAAAAATTGTGTTCGGTTTGCATCGATAAGGCCTTCCAGTTCTTAAGGGTTAACGCTAAGTAAAACATGTTTTTTTCCTAAGGGCTAATGGCTTATAATCGCGAGTTCGATTTTGTGCGTTTAAGCGTGTTGTTTTAAATTCTTCTCTGCTTGAGTAGTCAATCGGTGACAAACCTATAGGAATAACAGCCATTGATGTATTGAAATCGTAACTATCGATGATTTCAAAATTAATTAGATCAGGATCGTCATCTATTCGATATATAATAACGCGTTGTGTAGTAATCATAGCCTATTAATAAATATATTATTTATATCATAGAGAGAGAAAAATCCAACTTACATCGATATAACTATCTTTTATTCGATCGGATATATTCTTATTTCGTTTATCTACCATATTGATTTGTATTGTAGAAATAGTAAGTCGTGAAATATATCGTTCATTTAAATCACCTTTATTCATTCTATAAAGTAGATAATGGCCTTGTGCATCAAAAATTGAATATGGTTGTAATAAACCAAGAATATTCGATGGACATCTTGTTAGTCGAATACGAGTATTTAAAATAATATTTGGTGAACGTGCACCTTCTTTAATAACTGTTGCCATTTCATTAGTAAAATCAAGTATACTAACCATAGGTTTACTTACTGTTCCTACAATACCTTTAGCAAAACCTTTAACAAGTCCAGGCATACCTTGTTCAACAACACCTTTATATGGTTGTTTAATCATTGATGTTAATCCATCATAAAATCCTGCAGCTATTCCAACTGTTCCATGACGAATAACCTGTTTAATTGTTGTTGGATTTTTATGACTATCTATGATAGATTGTCGTCGATTATAATGTTCATTATCTGAAACAAGTTTACCAATACCATGTGATAATGAACCTGTTACTTTTGATGTTGAATCAGCGACACCATGTGCAACATTTTTAACTAATCCACTTACACCACGTTGATCAACAAGACATGCAATACCATCCGTAACATCATGTAGTAATCCAAGTGGATTACCAAGAAAATCTACTGTACCTAAAATTTTTAATGCTTGTCGTGTACATACATTAACATAATGTGTTATGATAGATAATAGAAAAAAATCATATGTATTAAAAATATGTGTTTGTTCATAAGATTTTAAATGTATTTGTGCATTTTCAAATGGAACAAGTGGAAATGATGCATGTCTTTTAATTGTTAATAAATGTGATGAAAGTAATCGTTTCGAATGAATACAATATACACTTAAATTAAGATCAATTGATGATAGAGAAAGTTTATTAAAATAAATTCGTGTTGCATGTGTTGATGTAAGTAATGAGAGAATTCGTTCAGTTTCATAATCATTTATATTTAAATCAATTTTACGATCAGAATTAGTTGTATTATTACCAAGACGAGTTGTTTTATATAATAATGATGATAAAGATGAAATTTCAATATCAAAAAAATCGATTAATTTCCATAGAAGAAGTTCATCAAATTGAATTGTTATTGAATTAATATCAATTTGAAGAGAATGAATAATATGAAGAAGACTACAAAAATATTATTTGTCATAAGAAATAATCAAAAGAATTGATTTACCTGAAATTTGTATTCGTTTTTTGCCATTGAATTTGAAAACGAATAGCTCGTTGAATTGATGGATCTTCAAGAGAATTGATATAGAGTAAACATGGTTTTGTTGTTGTTAATAATTGATTACCAATCTAAATTGAAAAAAAAACAAAACTCAAAAGAAGTTTTTTTTATCAATTAAATTTCGAAAACTAACAATAAGAGTATCAATAGTTGATTCAATAGATTGTTCATTATTCTTATTATTATATTCAATATGAAGATTATTAACTAGAATATACATAAGTTCTTCTGATTGATGGTTCATTGAATTTATAATAGATATACCAACACCAGCAGAAAAATGAAGATCAATATGATAAATAGTTGATGATAAAATATTTGTTGGATTTGGTAAATTATTTGATTTTATATGATCTATTTCAAGTACATTTGTTGGTCCATCAGCAATTATATTTGCATATAAAATACCAGTACCTTTATAACGTTGATGAGCACGAATATACATTGTTGATAAAGGTTTTTCATTAATATCATCTCTAAATATAAACGAGATGATCTGTATGGCTTACTGTCTCTTCACTAATAGGACAGTCGCTATTGGCGAAATTCGAGAATCGCGGCTAACTTCATCTACGTCTTCCTCGCCTCGAGATTACTTTTAGTCAATTTTTATGAAAAATAATCTTTTTTTGTTTTCATATTATTCTGTAACTAATCAGTGAAGTACGGATACACAAGCAAACTAGATTCTTATTTATAAGAAAGTGAATAAAAATAAACTTACAAAATTGGTCCTAGAACTATATCACTATTTTCTTTTAATTCACCAAATATTTGTACACATAAATGTGAATCTTTTAGACATAAATAACCAGAATCAGTAAATTGCCATGATTGTGTTTGTATTCGTTTAGGATCGTATCGTCTTACAATTAATTGAGTAAAAGATTCTGTTAAGTTATTATCTAATGGATCTTGAATATCTAAAACAAATGTATGTCGAAGATCATCGAAGAAATCTTTTTTTTTCGTTCCATCTTGAATTGATAAAGATCCTATATGTATTAATATACCATTATCAGTCCTATACCATAGTTGTGAACGCCGATTTTCTTGACGTTGTGCTACGAAAAGTTGATTATCATTATATTCAATAACAAGTGGATGAGATAAAGATTTATCTTCACATGTTACTTGAAAAACAAGATAAATCAAATTTTGATAATGTAATTCGTCAGCATTACCAAGTTTAAATAGATCATATATTGTCTTAGTACCATCTATAATTGAACAAGTTAATGTTGGTTTTAATGTTAATTCATCCCATGCATAATCAATCGATTGATGAGGTAATAGACTTGTATGTAAATGAGTAGATTCTGATCGAATATCTGTTTGATGAAATTGAATAGGTATATCCGATCGATTTGTAATACGAAAAGGTGGTGGCATTTGATTTGAATCCATAAATACAACAAAATATGTTCCATTTCGTTCAATAATTTGTACACGAAGTATTAAACATTGACCATTATCATATCTCATATTAATATGAAATGCATTAACACAATCAATTGGAAAACCTCCTGACCAATGAATTATCTGTTTTTCACCATCAATTATTTTTACACATAATAATTGTTCAATATCAATACGTGGCCAATGATAAGCAACAGTTGCATGTTGTGAAACACATTTATAATTTGTTTCATCATTTAATATTTGTCGTTGTGTTATTAATAAATTATATGAACATTGATTATAGATCATATAACGTGGACTAAGAAAAATAAAATTAATTTTTTTCAAAAAACCATTTCCTGAACGAATATCAATAGCTATAGAATAATTCCAATCACTTGATTTACGTGATGAACGAACTTGTAATTGTCGATAAGTCGAACCTTGTTGTAAACGAAATCCTTGTGACCATTGTGGACGGCTATCTTGTTGACGATGTAAACCTGTTCCAATTCTCATTACACATGTATGATTACGATTAGAATTTTCAAATGAAAAAAGTAATGCTTCTCGATTGAATTCTAATTCATCATTTATACTTTGTCCAGCACCTTCAATTTTGGAATTTATATCTTTAAATATTAATGGAATACCTAAAAATAATTCCGATATAAAAATAGGAAAATTTCAGTAAATTTATTTTTACCAGTTTTATTCAATAGAATATAAGGAACAGATAGTAGAATTTTTAAACGATATTTAATAAAACATACAATTGTTATATCAATAAATAATTCACGTTGATTATTATCATAGAAAATAATACGTTGATGTGTATATTTCGTTTGATATAAATCATTTATTGTTGGTAAATGAAAAGATTTATTCATATGATAAATATTCGTTGAAAAAAGTATATGAATATTTTCAAGAATATTTAATGTATGTTCTCGATGAAATTTATATGGATTGATTTCAAATTTTTCATGATAATTTGGAATTTCATAATTTAATGAACATGGAAGTAAATTACAAATTGTTAATGGTGAATGAATTGATAATTGATATGTAGAAACTATATGATCTTGGGAGTTTAAAAGATATGTTTGTTTAGTTTGTAAACATATATAATAGACTGCTTGTTTTTCATCGATTGAACAACTACGAAGAAATGATTGACGATGAATTAAATTTTCTTTCGATGACGAATTTTTTCTAAATAAAATAAATGATATAATATTTTCTCAAAGATATAATTCTACCTATTATCATCTTTTTCATTATTTATTTCTAACCAAGTTATAGGTTCATTACAAAAATCTAAAGCAAAATCAGAAGGTCGAATTTGTATTTGTTTTATTATTGAACATAATTGTATAGGTAATGAATATGTTTCATTTGGTTCTAAACGAAAATCATGTAATAAATCTAAATTACATTTAAATCGAATATCAATCGATGTTAATAATTGATTACGTATTTCAATTGAAGATTTTACTGTTATTAAACGTAAAGAATTATCTGCCATAGCAATATCAATAATAATAATCATTGGTTTATATAATTCATTCGTATTTGATGGGAGAGCAATTCGATAAAATGTACCAATACGATCAATGGATATAGGTTGTAAACATTGCCAACCATCAATTGAAATTAATAAACGACGATTAATTTGACATAGAGAAGAAACAATTGAATTTGTTCGTATTCTTGTTTGAGAATTTTGATTTTTATTCGTAGTTAATTGCGAAGAATGTGTAGGAAAATAAAATGAAATTGTTTGTTGATTATCAACAATATGTTCATATGATGAAAAAATTTGTTCGGATGTAATCCATGTACGAAATTTAATTTGAGTTCCAATTAAATTTTTAAAACAATATGGTTCTAATGTTTTTACATGACGAAAAGTTTTTTTCTTCTTTGAATTTTGATTATCTATATACCAATTTGTTTTAAGAATTTTATATAATCGATACATTGCTTTTGTAAAATTTAAATTTAATAATTCTTTTGATAAAATACATAATGAAGTTTTTGAAGATGATCGTGTTAATAATATTTCTAATGAACACATTTCAATTAATGGTTCAAATCCTGATTGAAAACGATTATAATATAAGATAATTATTTCAAATTGACATTGTTCAATACGATTCGTTGAATTATTTTCAATTGTTTGGAAATGAAATGATTTTAAATTAATATTTAGTAGAGGTATATGTACATCAAAACAATCATCAATAAAACATATACATATTTGATTACAGAAAAATTTAATAAATTTTATATTTAATAATTGATAATCTCTTATAGGTGATGTAAGAATTGATGAAATTGAACTTAATAAAGGTTTACGAGTTTTAACTTGAAATATTTGATGAAAAATTGTATGAATTAAATTATAGATCATTTTAATATCAGAATAAGATATACGAATATTTAATATTGGAATATTAAATTCACATATTTGTTCATTCGATAGATGAATATTTAAAGAACAATCAGTTGGTTCAATTATAGAAACTATTGTTTCATCAATATTTTCAATTTGACATGTAAGAAATGTAAAATTATTCATAACACATTCAATAGATTGTACGTTTTGTTTATAATTCAAAGACATTGTACTAGAATAGATAAGTGCACTTGAATATGGATCGATTATTGATGATACAAGTACAAGTTCGAATCGATTTAAATTTAATTTAGTATTAAATGATGGTATGAATGAAATACCAGTGGCTATAAGAGTTTCTTGTTGATAGAATGAATTAATAAATCTATTTAATTCTAATAACCAATCGATAACACATAGAAAACGTATAGAATTTAATGCTATTGTACATTGATTATCAAATTTAGTTTTAATTAGAGAAATTATAAGTTGATTCGAATTCGAAGGCATAGATAATGGTATGATCATATCTTTATTATCATATCGTGTATCTAAAAGTTTTATTGTTGAACAAAGAAAATGTAAAATTTGATCTCCATTTAAATATTTTTCGAAAGATATATGTAGATTCATTAATGCTGTATAACCTAATGAATGACGATGTAATAAATCAATATCATATAAAAACATTTCCATTCCTATATGATCAATTTCAATAATCATAACAAAACTAGTATAATTATCATTATTTGATATGATTAAATAATTAAATAATTTTTTAAGCATGAAAATAGATTGTTCATTAAAAGTATAAATAAGAATATTTTCAATCAGACTATATTGATTAAAATCCAATAGAATATCAATAGAAGAAAGATTGATTTTGATATTATAAGTTGGTGATGTTGGATTACGATTATGTTCAATTTCAATATTTAAATTAAATTGTTTACGAACTAGATTTGAAAAATTTGTATCCATAGAATTAAAAGCATAAGTGGGAAAATGAATAGATGTTGAAGTTTCTTGATTGATAAAAGAATGAGATGCAATATAGAAGATCATATCTTTGATTTCTATTGAAATAAAATCGAATCGGGATGATTTAATAGGAAATGGTTTTGTTTGATTTATTGTTGTATTCGGTTTATTTTGTAAAAGAAAATAATTCTTAAAATTCATATAACCGAATTGAATGATAAATACTGATTTTTTCTGTATATGTTCAGGTAATATAAGAATTAGATCTTCGATTTTAATATTTAAAAGTATTTCATTCAATTGTTCACTCATATTAGAAATAACTGGTTTGAAAATAAATAATCGAAGGCGTTTATAAAAATCTTCATTCTGTCGAAAACGATCAAAATAATTAAAAATTCTTAATAAAAAATAATAAGTATGAATATATTGAATTGATGTTATATTTAAATAGAATTGAGGACCAATTAATGAATTACTATCAGAAGTAACTAATTTATTTTCTTCTGTAGTAAATTTAAAATCAATTGCATTTGTAGCTGTTGTACAAAGTCGTTCTCTGTACAATTGATCAACAATTGTTAAATCATCTATAGAGATAAAACCAAGCTGACTATTAATAGTCCATAGTACTATTGATTGTTTTATACAAGTAGAAATTTGACATATGAAACGTTGAAGAACAATATTCATAAGTAATGTTTCATTGTCTTGAAATAAACAACCAATAGAATCGATATTAATTGAAATTTTAATTAAATTATTATTGAAAAATATGGAAGAATTTTTCTTCTTTTCTTCAATACCTAAAATAATAATAAGATATTTTAGTCAATAGAATACAGTTTACTATCCCATCTTTTCTAGAAAAAAGGATATCTGACTATAACTGTGAAGAAGAAAATTAGAGAAATATTTTTAGATGCGTCTTCATCGCATCTCCTCAACTTGTTCCTATGGAAAGTTATTCAAAATATTCCCACCCACTTTTTATTTCAAAATGGTTGGGAGCTACGGATCGACCCAGACCGAGTACGATTAAGGGTCCGGGTCCAAAAAATCTTGGACTCACAGCTTTCTAATCAAATGGAGTTAGGTAATCATGATTTATCACAGAAAATCGGTGATTAATTAGGCGACCCTGAGAACATTAGTTTCATTTTGATATACTAACTAGATATGTTTGATGAATAATTTTCACGATCAAATATTCCAATAAATTCAGATAATATTGTCCATGTTAGTTTAATAAATTTAATATCAATATTGCCTAGTTTAACATCTAATTTTTCATATTGATTATCTACTTGAGAAATATTTAATTCAATAGATGATGGAGTTTTTAATACAATAGGAAAATCATTTGTCTTATCTAAATGATTTCTAATTTGAAGTGAATTAAATTGAAGAATAATTTTTTTATTAGCAAGATTATCTAATTCATATAACATTTGACATTGATCTAAAACTGCTTCACATATGGTAATGAATTCATATTGAGCTGCACTTTGAAAGATAATAAACATTTGAGATGATTGAAACTGGAAAATAAATTTAAATAATGATGTTGAATTTTGACCAAAAATTATATTTAAGATTTCTCGTAAGAAATGTATTCGATTATGACTAAGATAAATACGAAGAGGAGAAATTAATTTAGAATTAATCATAATTGATGTTTCTGACAATTGAAAATTGAATGAAATGTACATATTTTCTATAAATTGCCATGATGTATGTTCAGAAATATTAATATTATTTATTTTAGTTGCTCTTGTGAAGTTAATTAGTAATAGATCTAATCGATTAACATTAATTTCAAAATCTATTAATTGATTTTGAATATTTTTGATATGAATACGAGTTAATTGTAAACCAATATTTATCGGATAAATAATTATTGATGTATCAATATCAATATCTAAAATCCATCGATGTAAAGATAATATTGAACTTTTTGTTGAATTAGTTAGACAATTGAATAAACATATCTTCGTATCTTCTTTTTGACTTTCTTGTTTTCCGATGTAATGATAATTGTCACTGATATAGGTAAAAATTTGTTCAATACTATCGATCAAATGTACTGAATGGAAATAAGAAAAAGAAGTCATTTTAATTGATAGATTAGAAATATTATCTTCCTGATTCATTAGTAATAAACATAATGCTGAATTTTTTGATGTCTCATCATTGTTTGATTCTTTGTTTGAACCAATAATAAGAACATTTTGTTTATTATCAATAGATTGTTGTAAATTATTGAGGGAATTAGAAATTTGTATAGCACCAAGTGTTAAGTTAAATATTGAATGTGGATTTAATAAAGTGTTGAGCATAAAATTTCTTATATGAATTTCACTCGAGAATATCACTGGTGTAATATAAATGAAAGTAAGATTAATTTCATGAAATTTAGTATTAATTTGACTATGTATTGAAGTATTAATGATATTACTATATTTAGAAACTATTCGATTCCATGAGAATAGATTCATATCTGACAAAAAATTGATCAATGTACAAATTGTTTTAGGGTTAAAAATAAAATCAAGTTTATTTGCATTAACATCAGCGATAATATTAATTTTCGACGTTGTTAAATAATCAATATTAGTTTTAATAAATACATTATTTTCATTTAAATTTTGATTGATTTTAAATAAAATTTCATCATCTTTTCCAATCGTTAAATTATTTAAATTAAAATTCAATTGTTTCGATTGATTATTATTGATTAATAAAATATCAATATTTTCGATATTAATTTTACTTAGAGTTTGAGTATTATCATTCAATAGAATATTTAATTCATTCAGACGAAAATCAAATTCACGCCAAATAATAAATTGATAATCATATTCGCTAAAATTGTTGTTAATAAATGTAAACCAAAGATTTATAGAATTATATAAACTTTTAATTCTTTGTATATTTAAATGAATCGTAAGTTTTTGTAATTCGGCGGAAATATTTCTTAACGGCCATAAATAATCTAATGAATGTTGAATAATAAATTGAATATTAAATTTTTCTACTATCTGTGAATGATCATTAGAATAACAAACTTGTATATCATGAATAGAAAATAAAAAAGATGAGTATTTAACAGACTCATCAATCTGATCTATAGTGAGAAGATTCACCGGGTAATCTATAGATTCTTCTTCCAATGCATTTTCATATATAGACGGAGAACTAATAGGTGTTAAAAATATATCATTATCATCTTCAAATTCTTGTTGAGTAAATACACTGTTATCTTGAGAATTATTAGTAAGTATCAAAAAACCCAAATCTATTATTAATGCATCACGGGATGATAGAGGAAGAATAATTTTTACACCTCCTATATTTACATATATCTGAAATTTTAATTTTTCTTGATGTTGAACATGAGATGCAGTCATTTTTTGATTTTTACTTGGCATTATTTGTTCTAATAGAGATCTACAATTTCTGAGCAAAGAATATTTCATATTTTTCCATTTGTTCAGAGATAATGATGGAAAAATTGAAGTATATAAATGAGATAATCTTTCAATCGATGTTGGACAACAAACTATACAAAGACCACAACTACGAACTTTTATCGTAGATTTTGACTTGCTTTTTTTCTCAAATAAAAACTCCAGTACTGGTATTTGCTGTGATTCACTAGAAAAGAATTATAATATTAAAAAAATATAGAAAATATGACTTACTCTTGTTGTATTACTTTCTTCGAAGAAATAATTGTAGAAAATGCATCTACCTGTTCATGATCACGAATACATAAATCATCAAGACGTATAGAAGTAACCATTGATTGATAATGCAATCGAAATTCATTATTTAATAATAGATTTTTTAGAGAAAAATTCCAAAGAATATTATTACTGGACGATAAAAGATCAATATTTATTGTTTTTAAATGAATTTTAAAACGAAATATTCGATCATTATCATAATTTTCTAATAGATCTTCATCTTCAATTGATTCTTCAATAAATGTATTAACTTGTTGTTGAATTTCAATATCATTTTCATTTAATGACGACGTTCTTCCCCATAAATCACTCATTTTTGAAGTAATCCATTTTGCGTAATTAAAATACCATTTCGTCGTTTCTTCTTGTTGTTTAATATGTTGATTAATTCGAGTTTGAAAAATCTTTCGACGAATAATTAAAAGATATTCAATATCAAATTCTTTTTCAATTTCTTTCATTACTATTTCATCTTGAAAAGAAATATTTGTATAATTTAAATATTTACTATTAAGATATTGATGATATAAACGTTTATAAATATTTAGTTGATGTAAACGATGAATTAATAAAGTACGATTAAACCAAAATTTATTTTGTATACGAAGAATAATATAATGCCACCAAATTCTAGCTGCTTGCTTTGAAATTTTTGATTTTGGTCTACATGGATCAGAAATTAACATTTGATAATGAAGAATATTAATTAAAATACGAATTTGTTCAATATTACATTTTAGATCTAAATCGCTTATTAAACATTCGAATTCATAATGATATTCTTTTTGATTAACTAAAAAATGATTATGTTTCAATGAAATTTCCATTGAATTTTGTAGAGAAAGAATATAAGAATGTGTTGAAGAATTGTTAATATCAAGATAAATGCCGAGATTATTTATTCGTAATATTTGTCGATTTATTGTATCATCAAATGGTTCAGTAGAAGTTTGAATATTATCGCAAGTTAATCCAATAGTACAACCTGTAGAATTTTTATAAATTATATGTACATCAATAATATCAATTTTTAATTTTTCAAAAAATGACATAAATAATCGTTGAATATTCCATTTTGATGGTTGAACTTCTCCAAAACATTCAAATTCTTTTTCTAATTCTTGTTCAGCTAGATTAAGTTGATTTTGTTTGATATTTTCATTATTTTCTTCGATTATTTCTTCTCTTAATGATTCATCAATATTATCTTTAATAACTATATAAACATGTTCGATTTTAATAATAAATGCTGGAGATGACGATGATCGAAATAATAATGAACTTAAAATAAATGAACATTGAATTTTACCAATATGAATTGATTCAATTTCTAATGGTAATTCAAATTTTGAACGAATATCTTCATTTAATTTTGTTTTATTTAATGTTAAATTTTCAATAATTATTTGTTGTTTATATAAAAGTTGAGCAGATAATTGATCAGCATTTATATCAATATATTGTGCAACATAACGTTTGATCAATGATGCTATTATTGTTTCAAACATAACAATCCGATCTAAAATAATACTTCAATATAGTTTTTTTTCTTCTATTTGAGTACACATGTGTAAAGAAAATTATGCATGATTATTTTCTTTTTTTTCTTTCTTTCTCACCAATGTAATAAGTGACATATGTATGTAGGTTTTTTTCCTTTAATTTTGCCATTCTTGACGTTGTTGTCATAGTTTTTACTCTATTCATATGGTATATTTTTATTGAAAATAATATTCAGAAGACCTTAAGATTAGTATATATTTGAGTTTATTAGATAATCTAGATATATAAATATACACAAACATAATCAGATGTAGCAAAAAATTGATTTCAAGTTGTGTTATATGTTCTAACAAAGAGAAGAATGTATTTTATTTTAGTTGGGTATTGATTTAATTAAATATAATAACAGCTATTCTGATTATAATACTTCTCGTCGAATGTTGTTTGAGTGTATATTATTGCTAATATTTATTATAATAATTTGATTTTCAGTAATTGTTCTATGCGTTCACGTTTTAAGCATGCATCTAAACTATACGTATCAAGGACACCTTAGATCTTGAGAGTGCGGGTGTGAGTGTGAGTTTGGTTATCTTCATTCTGCCACCCACACTCATTCTGAAGAAAACTGCATTAAAATAATAACATACATGAAACTCATTTCATAATTTTCATATTTAATCAATTTTATTTGATGATTTTTATGGAGATGTGCATTTAATCAGTGAAAATGAAATGCATCAAAAATAATATCCGTTTATGTCATTAGAAATGCTATTATTTTTCTTGTTTTTTTACATGAAAGTCATCATCTTTTTATTTCCTGAGTGGTGATGAATTCAATCCTCTAAATAGCTCAAAAAAAAGAGACTCGAGAAACATAATGTCGTCATAGATGCATCTTTTGTTTTAAGGAAAAATAAAAGATATTCAAACATTTATAAAATATTTTCCGCGACTAAAGAAGTGAAGCATGTTTTGGTTGATATTTATTTTATCGTTATTTTCTGTTAGTAATTCTATTCTTATTACTAAAATACAGGATTATATCATCGTTGGCGATGTGTATAAGAATTTATTCAATATAACAGAAGATCAATGTATATGTGAAATGTTTAAAGTAAATGGTTCAATATCTGCTTTAAATTATTTGTCAGCAAATCAAACCTGTCAACTATTTCGTTCAAATGTTAGTTCAGTTTTTGTTGAATTTCATTCGAATTCTACTCTTATATTCATTAATCAATTATCAGTATCAATATTAAATAATCAAAATTATCGTAAGTTTGTTTTAGATATGACTTGGAGATGTTTATTTGAAAATTCGATGATTCTAACGCTACACAAAAGACTTCAGGGCACTTATCTTTTAAGAACTTTTCATATTCTACGAGGATCTACACGATGAACATAATCTCGAACTAAAAGTGATTGCACAGTTGATGATTTTCCTCATCATTTCTGCACACCCTGTTACGTTTGGAGAGCATGATCAGTATAAAAATAAAAGTTTTTGTGGAAGTTAATGTCTCTTATATATAACACTAATCGAAAGTAGTTTGAATATGAAAAGAAAAACCTTTAATATCGATCATTTCGAGATCTAGTAAATTTAGTTTTTTCGAAAGAATGAAGTAGGATTTGTAATCGTAGATATCAAAATTTTGTGTGCCTTCACAGAGACTCTTCTACTGTTTCCTGTTCAAGGGGGAAACACTTGAAATCAGATTTTTTTTGTTTTTTTCATTACATTGATGGTTTTGATTAAATTGATTTTTTTTATTCGCAGTTGACAGGAAATTAAAAGAATCAAGTGTCAGCTCTAGACTTTTTGATGAGAAAAATTAATTTTTAATAAAAGAAGAATCAAGCTAATTATGTTAGTTAAAAAACCCTGGTTTCAACAGTTTCCCTGTTGATCCTACCTCGTAGGATGATCAAAAGCAAAAAGAACACGTTCGCTTAGATATATGATACCCTTCGCATAGATTTTTTACAATAAAAACTTTCGCACTAAAGCACATCGAGTTATATATAATGATTAATATTGACTTTTAATACATTTCAACAAGTTTTGTTTATTTATTTAGCTCAAGAAAAGAATTGACTTATCTCTTACGAGTTTTGAGTTTAGAAAAGCGAACCGATCAAGCTCACAAAAGTTTTAAAGTTATTTATTCTTAAGAGCATTAGTAGTTACCAAAGAAATCTTCAAGTTTTATTCGAACAAGTTCTTGTTAAAATTTGCTTCTTTAGTCTGATCTTGTGGCAGGAAAAAGTGGTTCATTTCCAGCTCTGTCTCAAAGTAGACGACCCGATCTAACCCAATCAGATTTTTCTTTCAGACCGACCTGGAAAACGTTCTTATTTTTTCTCATGCTTTTTATTGGACTTGATATGTATCGTAAGTAATAGGAGCTACTAAAAAGGTTTTAAGATAGAAAAAACACGTTAGTTTGAAGTAGATCCATAACATAAACTGTGGTGATCACTGAAACGGATTGTCTCTCTTGTCGAAATGTAGTGTACTGTAGCTGGTTGAGAGAAAGGGCTTTATAAAAGAAATATCCATCTTGAGAACTGGGTTAGCCACAAAAGGTTGCCTCGATTAGTGGATCGAACACTGTTGAATTCTTAAGAAAATATCATCCAATCTTTTTGTCTCATGTTAACCTTATTTTTTTAAAACAGAGCCGAGCACGTCAACTTCATCATCAGCTATAGCAGCAGCATCAACAGCAGGAGCAGCAGTACCAGCAGCATCAACAACAGCAGGAGCAGTAGTACCAGGAGCATCAACAACA